AAAAAAAATTTCGATAACTATTTACTTTATCTTCCGATGTTGATATTGTGGTGATTTTCTGATAGAAGAAGAATATTAGTGAAGATGAAATAACAGTTTATTATGTATCTTCATATCATACAATCGTCTCGTTTACATAGAAAGCATGCATTTATATATGTTACAAAAATCAGAGAGACATATATCACAGTAAACGATCAGGAAATGAATGGTACATAGTAATACAAGACAGACGAAGAAAACGCTACGTATTCAATAATGACAGATAATTTTCTCATCTTCATGCGCATACAATCAACAAATCAAAAATAAATAATGACAAACCTTCAACCCCGCTAAAAGCGTCACAGATATTATGCTCTAAAATTGAAGAAAACTATTATAATTTCTATGATAATACATGTGTTTCATGATAATGTTCGGAATGATCTAAATTAAGAAATAGATATAATTATTTATATAAATCAATAGTTTTATATTTCATACCTTTTTTGACTGATGATAGTTCAAGTAAATGTATGACAAAAGTAATCATTCTTTTTTTTCGAATAAATGTAAGAGTATAACACATAGAAATCTCCTAATAAAAAATAAATACTATGCAATATTGAGAAAATGAAAATTCAATGTATTTTAAAGTATTCAAAAACTAAATCATCCACTGCTTAGTCTCTATTGTTCTTCTTAGTCGATTTGTTTTTTAACTTATTTCATGTGCTAATAATGTTTCGCTTTCTAATTGCAAATGAATTGATCGTCTAAAGTCTAAATAACTGTAAATGAGTAGCGGATGATAATGCACATTATATTCTAACTACGTGAGATTATTTTATTCATTTATATTTCAGTCACGTTCTACGATAAATAGAACGATGAAAAGACTATGTATATCTTTAAAATGAAAATGATAAGACATTATATTTAGTTCACTTTAAAATAATATTAGTTCTAAATCAATTAGAAAAGATTCTATCAACATGAATCATTAGATCGTTTTCATTCTTCTCAACTCACTCTTGTCAATGTTTTCCTATTATAATTCAGCAAATTTAACTTTTATCTATTAGTTATTCTAAAAAACTGCTTATGTTTATTTCATACTAAAATATTCTCTGTGCGTACAATAAAAGAAGTTTCTTGTTTGTTTTTATTAATCTATACAAACGTATCTTTAGAACGTATTTCAAAAACACTATGAAGACGTAGAGCATGATATTTTGATTTGATTCAATAATTTAAACTTCATTCCTAAGCAAAATATAAAAATTCTATTAAAATACAGTAAAAGACCCGATTTTTTTGTTCACTCAAAGATGATCGTTGTATTGATATACACTAAGATATAGTGTAATTAATTATGTTTCATTAATTTAAAAAGAACAATCT